GTCGGGTCTGGTCCAAGATGCGGCCTTTCGGCCTGCTGTACCCCAAGTCCGGGCCTTTAGGCCCTACTGTGTCCCTCTAGCCCTAAGTCGGGTCCGGTAGGACCCGTGTGGCGTCGAAGATGTAACATCAGGGGTCCTTCGGCCTGAACGGAAGGAAGCGTGTGTGTGTTCTGTCTCATGTATTGTATATTTTGACTTGCCAGTGGAATAGGAACCGGACTGACGGCTCCCCAGAATAGAAGGAGCCAGGACCATAAGGCCCTGTTTTGCTTAAAAAAAAAAAAAAAAGAAGTGACTCAGGCTCTAAACTTTTTGCTCTCCATTATGTGTCATTGAGACACTAGCCTGCTCTGACAGCCGCTGGCTCCTCCAACCCAATGGATAGGTCCTCAGCATCTGCATGCCAGATCTAGAGCTTAGGGGCTACCCCACAGTGGTTAGGCTGCTAAGCCCTGACTTTCTTTTAACAACAACGAGATAGCGAGGCAAATGCTATGCGCTCATGTACACAAAATATATGTCATGTATTGTCAGCAGGAGCAAACATCCAAGAAAACATGCACAAGAAGAAGAAAGAAGAACGGAAAAAAAAAAAGAACAAGAAAGAAGAAGAAGAAAGAAGAAGAAGAAGAAGAAGAAGAAGAAGAAGAAGAAGAAGAAGAAGAAGAAGAAGATGGTGATGGTGGCCTGCAGGTGAAAGTGCTTGGCAAATCAATGGCTGAAGTGTTACAGCGATCTAACATAAGATTCTGCAGTGTCTGGTGAGGAAAATGGCTGCTGCATTGCTACAGAGCGAATGTAAGGGACTGTTCTTAACTCAGCAGAACCAAGTTTGATGAATGGCTAATGATGCCATCACTTCTGTGTATGCTACTGCTTCATACTTCTTTACTTCATTTTGTTTTGACAAACCGTCCATGATTTATTGTGGAGCTTACTGCTGATTGCTCACCTCGTTTTCGGTGAATTTTGTCCAGGTACGATTGCATGAGCAGCTTAAAGACCAAGGACAGTATGATATTGAGAGAGACCTGTGCCAAATCATTGTTAATGGACCCGGGATCGAGCTTTTCGTGGAGTTCTCCAGCCCTCCTGACGATTGGATTGACGTTCTCGTACGGTGCGAGGATAGCACAAGTGATGCCAGCAAAGTTTGGGTGGAACAACACATCCTACAGGAGGTGACCCGACTGTGTGCAGAGCCCATCGGCTTACCTGGTGTTGAGTTGGTGATCAAAATCATCCGTCCAGATTGCATGGAACAGCTTGTCCCTCGTGAATGCCGTCTCAATTCACAGGTTGTAGATGAGAACAAAATTTTGGATGGGATCAATCATTGGGGCATCCAGTCTGTAGATTACAAGTACTGCTGGCCTGAGCTCGAACCCAGCCGAAATTGCAGAGGCCTGAGCATCTCTGAAAGTTATGGACTGGACCTGCTAAGGCCATCAACACTGAGGGACAGTGTGATCCAGCAGTGGCGGCAGCTCATACAAGTGGATAACAATTTTGAACTAGGCGGAATTTGCGAGTCTCGAAACGATAGTCAGGCCTCAGGCGCAGCACATGCAGAAGCTCACTGTTCAGCACATGACCACCTCTGCTGCGATGACGAGGTAGCAGTGGAAGGACTGCCTGGTCCATTTCAGAGAATGCTGGAGATCATTCTGGCCAGATTCAACAGGGTTCACATGGATGTGAGGAGGATTGGTGATGACATGAATAATTTGAAGGGTGCGATGGAAACGCTGATGAGAGTTCAGAAAGAGATGTTCCCCAGCATCAGCAGGAAGCTGACGGATCTGTCGTGTCTAGTGGTGGAGAAACACAAGCATCGACTGCCCCATCTTCTCTTCTTTTCTGAAAAGGAGGGTGTGAAAGCGAAACTTGCAACCTGGTTTGGCCACCCGCTAGGTGTCCGTCCGCTTCAACTTCACTTGATGTGTGAATCTCGGAGCCAGGTACATTCTGTGGATGGCCAACCTGGCGAAAAGGTGTGGATTCAGGAGGAGGAGAAACCAGGGGTTTGGGTGATGCTAAGAGCAACTCTACTTGTGATGACAACTTTACTGATTGCTGGATGCGGCACGATGGCAGGAATTCATTGTGTGGTGCCTGATCTAACTAGCCTCAGTCGAGATTGGTCCCCCATCATCGCAGCACGGGTGGCTGGAGGTTTGGCAGTCGGTGCGTACGGAGCTGACAAAGAAATCAAAGATTTCAAGGAAAGTTTGATCAAGGATTTCGAGGAACGTTGGAAAAAAGGTAAAAGAATGTTCGAGGATGGTCCAGAAGATGATATCAAGAGGGCCGAGGCAGCTGCATGGCTGGAAAGAACTCTTGTGGGTGGGAATGTTGACATCAGAGAGAAATTCCAGTTATCAAGAGTCAGATACAAGGACACATCCTCAATTGCATGGATTTGTGATGACTGTTTAGTGAGGGAGCATGGTGAATTGGAGATGTTCACATAAGGATGGTGAACAGCATTCGCTTGCAGTAGTGATTCGAGAATCGTGATGGATAGTTCCGGCAGTTCCAAAATACTGATGTTCATGTACGTTGAGTCAATTAGTCTTTTCTTATACATAAACTTCATAAAGCCAATAAGGTAGTGTTGCAGAGAGCTAGAGGTCTCACAAGTCAGCCAATAAGTAAGGGCTTGCAGATTGCCCAAGTTCTTCATTGCACGCTTTCCAACAAACATGGTTTCCTGTGAACAGCACCACCAGCCATCTGGAGAAGTTTTGTTCCGGCAAATGAGGCTGCACTGCTGCGGCGCGTGGCAATTTGTTTATTGGGGTGGATGTGTGATGGTGTCAGCCCCAGACACTGATCCTTAGCCAATCAAGCACACCTTCTGCTGATAACAGTTTTGTCTCCTCACTAGCTGCTAAGGACGGTTGTTTTCTCGGTTGTGCTCCATATCAGACTCTATTTTATGAGTCCATAGTGATTCCCTGTTTGGCTTATCTGGTAGTGCGGGGCCATGTTTTCTTTTCTTGTCAGAAATTTCAGTTGTCCACTGTGTCAGGCAGGCATTCTGCGCATCTCACGGCATATTACTTACTTGATGACTTTGTCCACTGATCTGTGCACAAAATTGCGGCGAGATACATCCTGTAGGGGCTGTGATCTCCGTCAGATACATCCTGGGAACAGTGAAAAGTCCCAGTGACAGTATGCTCTCACACACTCATAGCTCGCTTTCAAGTGGAGTGAGAGGTAAACTTTCTCTCGAATCAGCCTCTTTGCGAATAACCACACACATTTTCATTCATCCTCCATGTTGTCCTAGAGTAACTCACTTAAGAGTTCGTTCAGTGACAACTGCGGACATCCAGTCTGGTCTGCAGCCAGTGGGTGTAGCCGGGGGCAATGATGGCCATAGTCATTGTGTCAGCCAGTGACCAGATTCACTGCGTCACTCAGTGGCCATCACGCTACCACTCTTCTGGGTGTACCTGCGCACAATGATGACCAGATTCATGGTGTCGGCCAGTGGCCATCACAATCACCCATTGAGGGCGTACTCAAACTGACACAGAGGCAGGCGGACTGCACGCCTGTATTAAACCCAAACTGAGGGCGTATTCAGAACGGGACTTCATCCACGGAATCTGTCGTTCATTTTGCTCATGTATGCATAACCTGCAGTAAGACTGCGAGTGTCAGTATGACTTGAGGGGCCCAACGGCGCTTGGCAGTGACCCGATGCATGCCATTCACATTGTTGCAGGCTCTCCGGCCATGGCCAGCCGTAGATCACTTTTCGTCTCCACCATCAGAGCAGGAGGCTCAGGAGAATGAGCTGTGCCATTCCATATCAAGGCTAGGTTACTGATAAATGTGAGAGTCAGCAGCCATTGTTGGCTGCCAAGCTAGAAGGTGATAGCCATCGCCGAACACTATAGCTAGGAGCTTGATGAGTTAGTCAGCAGACTTGGGTCATCTTCTGACACGTGCATCAAGATGGAGAACCTGGTGGATGATTGTGTGGCGAGGAGCAGGTCATCGCCGGGCAAGCAATGAGCAGTGGATTCTGCAAAGCCAGGCTGCCACCGTTTTTTCAGCTGCCAGTGGCTGTTTTTGATCAGCTGGAGTTTTCCTGACTGGTCAGTTATGGGTGAGAAGGGTAATGCATCAGCAATTCGCATGATGTTGAACGGGTCACATGTCGTACTCTGCAACAAGTAATGGCCAGGAATGTGTGTTCTGTGTATGATTGCGGTTCTTGACCGGTCCGTTATGCCAGACTGATGTCTGATTCAGTGAGAGGAGGTTGAGGGAGTACTGCTTCAACTACTGTCCTTCCGTCTCCTAGTACGCCTTAAGTTCTTGAATTGCTGGTTATCGGCGTAGCTCAACCACTTCCTGACTCAGTTTGTGGAAAGGAATAAACAATGGGGAGTGCAGCTTTCCACCGTCTGAGATCTGATATCGCTGGTTTTGGATGTGATCTCATTTTCTGGATAATATACACTGTCAATCGTTAACTTTTTCTTCAGTCATATTATCCAATTAGTTAATCCTTTTAGTAGTAGTTTCATATTGAAACAACCGTCTAGTTTGAAACTACTATCTCGATTCAATTCCTGAGTACAAGGTTCAAACTCATAATTAAATTATTAAATTCCTGAGTCCTACCATTGTAGTGGAATTTACTTTAAGTTGCAGTCAGGTTTCAAAAGCAATAGACTAAGTACGCTGTATATCCGAATTGGGCAATCATTATGATGACTGTCGCTGTCTTGGTTGGGTCGTGATTTGCCCCAGCTTACGTCCCCTTGTTAGTGGTGCAGAGGTTGTAAGTATGAAGTGCCAATAGATCCTTTGTGTAGTGGAATTTACTTT